CCCTCAGACTCAGGCCCCTGTAATTGGGGTACCCATTTAGATTAGATGCTTCAAGTGCTACGCCCCAGCTCTCAAGAATATCTCTCTGATTGGAGACAGATCAAGATGCTCAGAACCCACAAAGGGCAGACTTACTCCATCCTGCCCACAACTCGTGTGTGTTCTTACTCCATTCTTCTGATAAGACAACTGAGGCCTAGAGAGATTGCTGCTGCTGTCTCCTTAGATAGTAACTTGTTAGTCAGAAGGAAAACCAGGGCTGTCTGACTCAAGCCAGGTGTCCTATGTCCAGTGGGTCTCTCCTGGCTTCGGCACACTAAGATGTAGCCAGAAGCTAAAGAATGTAAGGAAAGGTAAGACCAGCAAGGAGGTGTGATATGTGATAGCCAAGGCTCCCTGGAGGGAGGCTTACCTAGCCTGGGCAGGGGAGACAGACTCAGAACAGTAGAAGGAACCTGCAGAATTCCTCAGGCAGGTGACCAAGCACAAGCCAGTAGAAGGTTACAGCCCATCTAACAAGCTGCTCAGATCAGGATTGGTGTTTCCTATCTGTTACTCTATCATTAGGGAACTGAGGCAGGTAGATCACCCTTCAAGGTGAGTCCTACACCTCCAAACAAAATAATCCCTTTCTGGCCTTTGCAGGCACCAGGCACACACATGGTACACAGACAAACATACATGCAGACGAAACACACACATTAAATAAACAAACAAATAAATAGTGTTTTTTAAAGGAACAAAAGGCCTGGAGAGATGGTTCATTGGTTAAACACTTGCTGCTCTTGCAGAAGACGTTCAGTTCCCAATACTCATGCAACCTCTAACTCCAGGGGATCTCATACCCTTTTCTGGCCTCTAAGGCACTGCACACATCTGGCATGCATGTGCGCACATGTGAACACACACAAACACACACGCACAGTCATTAAAGGGAGGAAAGGAGAGGTGGAGGGAATCCACAGCCAAAGCAGTAGCTGCCAGCTGCGATAGGACCAGTATCACATTCTAGAACTTCAGGATCACCCATCCATTAACACTGTACTGGCTCCTACCCGTCTACCTCTACAGCAGTGTGGACATCCATGGCAACCTCTTGACCTCTCCAGAGGCCAATAGCAACAGTGTGGAGGTCCTCAGCAAGTATTTCTACAATGTCTGTGAACTGGGCTTAGGGTTCAGCTTTAAAAGTTTCCCTGACCACAGATGAGCTGTTCCTTAGGGCCAGATAACTTAGATATCCTGCTTGCCCTGGGGTGACGAAGGGCTTTCCACCATACTGGCCCTTTGGGACTCAACTTGCTTGGGTCCCATTTCCTGGCTGGCAGCCAGCCTATCCCAACAGTCTACGCCTTAACTATAGGAAGAAGGGACCTAGAAAGGAAGAAACACTCAATTTCCCTCTTTCTGGGCCCCAGCTGTGGGTAAAGCCTGCCTTTTATATCCTGAGTAATTGTGCCATTGCCAAGCGATGCTGGATTATATGTGGTGGGGCCCCTGAAAATATATGTTCCTACAAAACAGAAAGACTTATAAGTCAATAAGAAAAAAAAAAAAAGCACTTACTGAAAATTGAGCACCCTCTGAGCAGTGAACAAGCAGTCCACTAGAGATGAAAATCCTCAAGACAGTGCCGTCTTAAATGGACCAATAGTGGAGGGAGGGGCCGTCAGGCTCTGGTCTGTGGTCTGAAAGGCCTGCCTGTGGGAAGGAATATAAGGACATTTCGGCTAGCTGGGCTGCAAACCTGGCTCTGTCCTTCAGATGAGAGCCTTGCACAAGTAGCAAATGCCTCTAGACCTGTCCCCTCATTTGAAAAGTGGAGATGGGATGGCCTGTCTCCTATGATGGGGAAGACAAGGTAGGTTAACTTACAGAAAGCATGCCACACAGCAGATGGGGAAAGTAACTGCTCAGAAAATGGTACCTATGGAGCAGGGGGAGGAATATTCAGAGACGTAAATTAAACCATCACCTTGTCTCATGAGCCAGCCTGGCAGATGTTGGAAGACCGGGAGTTTCAAGGAAAGGGTCTCTTACTGTTTACACAGTGCAGACTGGCACATCACCTTGAAGAGCAGCTTGAGAGCACCCAAGACATCGCAGCTGCCCACAGTAGGACTGCAGGAGCAAGAGATCACGCACATAAACTGCTGCCCTTTCTTCAAGGATTCCTGGTCACAGCAGAGCCCTGGAGAGATGTGATTCTTCCAGCCAGCCATGGCTCTACCTGCATTGAAGGAGGAGTCCAAAGGAGGCCGCATCGAGCAGGATGAGGAGTGTTCCTATAAAGGAACACAAAGCTGACGGGACAGTTCTGTCTGTCATCGCAGTACTTGGGAGGCAGAGGCAGGAGCATTGCCATGAATTTGAAACCATCCTGGACTATAAAAACAAGAATAATAGGGAGACAGATAGACAGATAGACAGACACATACACACACAAAGGGACACTAAAGAATCAAGAGTCCATGGAAGTCAGAGACTAATTCCTGTTTGTCCAGGAATGTACTCTAGTCTTCACTCTGACATTCATGATAGGCATTACTAGTCAATCATAGACCCTGACCTCAACATCCTTCTGAAATCATGTTCCTCATAGTCTCCACTATAGTTGGCACAAAAGAAGAAATCTAGGTAGCATCTTTTATTTATGTCCATCCTTTTTGGCCTTTTCCTTTTTATGGCTTATCAGCCTGACCTGCAGCTGCCATTGGCTTCCCTTTGCCTACCACAGGCCGGTGAAGCTAGGGATAAGAGAATTGCCAACAGCTTCATCCAATGGCTGGCAGGATGGGTTAAGTGCTCCAGTTCCCTCGAGTGAGTGCCTTCAAGATGCATCTTCACCAGTGTCCCCAAATGCCTCACAGAATCCAGGTGCTACCCCATATCAGTGAGCAGAGTTTCCTTCACCTCAGCTCCCTCACTCCACACCAGGATCCTTCCCACTGAGACCCACTGGCCTCTGTTCTTGTCAGAGGGCCCAACTCTGAGAAACCTACTCTCAAGCACCCCTGCACCTTCATGCCTGTGAAAGGAAGGGTCTTTCCCAAGCCATTGGCAAGGCCCTTGTGAGAACCAGTGCTTAGCTTCCCCAGCCCACTGGCTACCTGTGTCTTCAGCCTCCGTGATTTGGCATTTATTTCCCATTACAAGAGAAATGGCCCAGCAGGGGAATCCCTGATAGGAACTCCTGGATGCCTGGAGGTGGGTACTACCCTTGGGTGGGCCTCTGAGCATCCCCATCTCCTTCCAGGGCCTCTGTCTCCTCCATAGACTAGATTGCTAAGGAATCCGCTCCATGCTGGGATAGAAGATACTCTGGGAAGCAGCTAGCTCCCACCCAGATACCATCTCAAAAAGTTAAATACGTATCTCCATGCTTTTGACAATTCAAATATCTATTTCTCTCTTTTATTTATTAATGTGTGTGTGTGGTAGGGGTGCATGCACGCATGCGTGGAGTCAGGATATGTGTGTGTGTGCGCGGTAGGGGTCCATGCTCGCATGTGTGGAGTCAGTCAGGATATGTGTGTGTGTGTGTGTGCGCAGTAGGGGTGCATGCACGCATGCATGGAGTCAGGATATGTGTGTGTGTGCGCGGTAGGGGTGCATGCTCGCATGTGTGGAGTCAGGATATGTGTATGTGTGTGTGTGTGTGTGTGTGGTAGGGGTGCATGCACGCATGCGTGGAGTCAGGATATGTGTGTGTGTGCACGGTAGGGGTCCATGCTCGCATGTGTGGAGTCAGTCAGGATATGTGTATGTGTGTGTGGTAGGGGTGCATGCTCACATGTGTGGAGTCAGGATATATGTATGTGTGTGTGTGTGTAGTCAGGATATGTGTGTGTGTGCACGGTAGGGGTCCATGCTCGCATGTGTGGAGTCAGTCAGGATATGTGTATGTGTGTGTGGTAGGGGTGCATGCTCACATGTGTGGAGTCAGGATAT